TCTTTGTCACCAAAGTAAGATAATATAGTCTGACTCTTTTTGCGCTGCTTTCTCATGATCCTAGTCAATTACTTGAGTTATAAACTCTTTGTTAAGGTAGTGGTCTGTTCCCAGTTTGGAGAATGCACTGTCTCCAGCTTCTGGGGTTTTGTGCAGCTGTTTTCAGAGATACTTCTAGGGACCTGAAAATCTTCAGTTCTTCCAAGGTGCTATGATCAAAGGGGCAGTGTTTACTCCTTTCCTGGCCTGTGCTCTGATCTATGAGTGACCACAAGCACTCTTTTCTGCCTTGGAACTGTGAGAAGGATTTCTTCTCTACCACCACTACAAGCTCCACTATGCCAGTGCTCCTCCTCACCCTAGGACCACCACCCAGAACTATGACCCAGATTCAAGCACAGGCAAAGCAATAGAATCCTGCACCAGCAGAGAGATCACTGCAATACCCCTCTGAACAGCCACTCGATTCCCCCTCAGTCTGTGGGCCAGAAGCTCAGGAGGCAGCCGCTGCCGCAGGACCAAACTTGGGGACTGGAGCTGAGACCACCATGCTTCTCTCTCACCACCGCAGAAATAGACTTTTCCCACTGACCTTCTAAGTTGTCTTTGGCGTTCCTGGGTTGAGAAGTCTGGAAACCGCCACAGCTACCTGCGATTCAGTCCTCTGAGGCCTGCGTGCCCATGCTGAATTGCATTACTCTCCCAGCCTGGTGCAATATACCTTTCTGATCAACCATCCAGGCTATCTTGGGCTGGAAATTTGTTTCACTCTGTCTTTTTGTGGGTTCTGCTGCTTTAGAATTTGTTTAGAGCCATTTTTAGAGATATTTGGAGGGGTTTGGAGGAGAGCTCAAGCAAGTCACTGCTTTTACTTTGCCATCTTGGCTCCAGCCCCCTTGCACCTCAGTTTTAAAGAGTTGTCTGGGTACACAGAGAGTAGTTAGATAACACATGATAACACAGGTAGGGTGGATTAGAGCCAGGCTTTGGACCCAGATCTTCCTAACTCCGAGGACATTTTTTTTAACCCATTATACTTAACTCCCTCTACATAAAGATCATAGAACCATGAACTAGTAGGGATTTTAGGATTTGGAATAAAAAAAAACCCAAGTTCAAATCCTGCCCTAGATACTTACTAGTTATGTAATCCTGAATACATCACTACGGCTCTTTGGGACTCAATTTCCTCCTCCATAAAATGAGAGGGTTAGTCCTGATGACCTTTCAGGGCCATTCTAGGTCTAAATATATGATTATCAAGTCTAACCTTCTCACCTTAAGGATGAGGGAATTGAGGCCCCAAATCTGTTACATCACTGAGAGGTTAAGAAAATTGTTCAAGTTCATAGAGGTATTAAATATCAGGGTTGGGTTCCAAAACCGGGACCTCTGGCTCCAAATCTAGTGCCCTTTCCACTATCAGAGATTCTTAAACATCTTTGTAGCTTGGAGCCCTTTAGTTTCTGTTAAAGGCAATAGACTCCTCCTCAGAATAACATTTTTAAAAGCAAATAAAACACATACGATAACAAAGAAAACAAATTCTGTGGAACTATTTATATATAGACATTCCTACACATACACCTATGTATACATACATATTATGCACACAACATGTTTATACATATATACATTCAAAGAGATCAAGTTAACTCTGGAATTAGGCCATGCTGCCTATGTTCTGAAGTTCTATGTTCTAAGTACTTTTCTAGTCTATCTTTCCATGACTCTATACCAGGGATTTACAGGTTCCATGCTCCATTCTACAATAATAGCTAACATTTATACAGCACTTTATGGTTTGCAAAATGTTTTACAAATATTATCTCATTTTATCCTCATAACAAAACTGGGAGGCCAGTGCTATTATTGCCTCCATTTTACAGATGGGAAAACTGAGGCAGACAGCAGTTAATTGACTTGTTCAGGTTCATACAGATAGTGAGTTTCTGAGGTCACATTTGAACTCAAGTCTTCCTGACTCCACTGGACAGGTAGGTGGCACAGTGGACAGAGTGCTGGTCCTGGAGTCAGGAAAACTCATCTTTCTGAGTTCAAATATGGCCTCAAACACTGACTAGTTGTGTGACCTTGGGTACGTCACTTCACCCTGGTAGCCTCAATTTATTCATTGGTAAAATGAAGTGGGGAAGGAAATGGCAAACCATGCTAGTATCTTTGCCAAGAAAACCCCAAATAAGATCACAAACAGTTGGACACGACTGAAAAACGACTGAACGGAACTTTTTGACTACACATACAGTCCTCTGTCCTTTCCAGGGTACCATCTACCAATTGCTATGTGGCAGAGCCAAACTCATAGATCTATCAAGTGAATTAGCTAATAAATACCTGCAAAGCTGTTTGTGAATACAAAAATATCTATAGATCCTTGGACAATAATTCCACACAACCCATACCCACTACCAACTTCCACCCTGTGGTCTTGGACACCCTTTGAAACACTCAGAAGACCAAGTATCTTTCCTGTAGGAGATTCCCTGCCACCCAATTAGTGTTGGGGAATGGATATTCATGCTGCCTTTTGCATCAATGAACACACAGATATTACCTGTCTATATCTTTCCAGCTTTGTCAAGGAAGCTCGGCCCTAAGTTGCTATAGTTCAACCATCTTATCAGTTTCACAGGAATGCATGGAGCCCAGTTTGGAAAACCAGAGTATTCTAGTGAGCCTCTTCTTTGGAAAAATTAACCCCTATGGCCCTGCCCTCTTGTCCCCTCCCCATGTAATTTCTCCTGCTATGGTTTATATCCAATTAGGAACTTTCATTCTGACTGAAGGAAAGCAAGAGATTCCTAAAACCTTGTTATGAACTACAATGCAGAGTTTATTGCTGTAGTCACAGCCCCTCTATGTTAGCTTTCTTCTCTTACCTTTCTTCCCTATATAGCTTTATCACTAGGCTCAGGTAAAGAAGAAGGAGAACAAACCATTTTGCATCACCTCCCCAGTTTTGAGCTCATAAAACAGCTTGCCTAAAATCTGACCATTATTTCCTCGGTTATTTTTCTATTTAGATCAAGGACTGATAACACTCTGCCCCAGGGGGTTTCAATTTAATAATCATTTAATGAGTACCTACTATATAAAAATAATTAAGACTGCAAAGAATAACAGAGTCAGTACTTCCTTGCCTTCAAGGAAGGGGGAGGAAAAGAAAAATTACTAAGTAAGATGGTCTGGGGTAAAAGGAGAGATCTAGGTCAATTTGAGGAAAGAATATCATTTTTAGCAGGGGATCTCAAAAAAAAGACTCTACAGAACAGTTGACATCTAAGTCAGACCCTGAAGGAAGAGAAGGATTTCAATAGGTAGACATGAGGAGGGAGGGCATTTGAGGCAGGAAAGATGGCTTCCAAAAACGTAGAGACAAGAGAATGCAGGACAAGAAGAAAAAACAGTCCAGTTTGGCATGAAGTTCATTAAAGGAAGTAATGAAAAAAAATATCAGAAAGGTAGCAGGCTATGGAGGTCCCTAAATATCAGGCCAAGGACTCCACATATTAGGTAACAGGAAACCACTGACAATTTTTCAGCAAGGAACTCAAATCTGTGGAAAAGGAAGGTTATTCTGGATGTGAAGATGCATCAGACAGGAGGGAATGCAAGCAGCAAAATCATGTAGAACCAAAAATGGAAAGATCCCTCCCTGGTTGGAATCAGAATCCCCAGCTCTGACAATAGGAGCATAAACCTGGTTGAATTACCTCTAAGTCTCAGTTTCCTCATCTGTGAAATGGGAAATATGGAGAATATGGAGTTCCAGACTTCTGGATAGAGGAGCTAATAAGCAGAGGAGAAAATAATTCCTATTCAATGTTCGGTTCTTAAATGATTTGTTCTATATTAACATATTGAGTCATTTGTATGGTACAAGTCTAATGGGAAAGGGAATTGCCTCCCTAGAATCTCCCAGCTTGTTTTCCTTTTAAGGAGAGTCCAAATCAGAGGTCAGAACTACGTCTGCAAGGCGATCTTCCATCTACGTTGTATATATCTTGTATGTAACTCATTATTTCATGATGTCTCCCCATGAGAGTGTAAGTTTCTTGAGGGCAGGACAGTGTTTTTTGTCTCCCTTTTTATGCCCATATCTTAGAATAGTGCCTAGCACATAGCGAGCCCTTAACATATGTTTTTTGACTGGCTGGTTATTTAAGGCCTTGGGTCCCAGGGAGATAGGAGTCACCAGAGAAGAAGGAGAGTTGTATTGTCTATTTCTTGGCTCCCTTTCTGGGCTTTTTCTGTAATCCCTTTATGAATTTTCTGCATTTTCTTCAAGGTGAAAATAAAGGCTGCCCTGTACCTGTTATATATGTATGTGTACATGTGTGTTTATACACACATACATATATATGCACACACATATCATGTGTGCATGTATGCATATACATATGTATATGTGTGTGCACATACATACACACATATGTGCACACAAATATATCACTTTAAGTGCTTGCATGGGAGCTGGGACTCTTTTACCCACACCTGTGGAGACCTAGACATGAATAACACATACTATATTCTGCCTAAGGTTAAAGACTTAATAGAGCCCAGATTCAAACTCATTTCTTCTGACTCAAAAGTTAAAATTACTTCCAATACACCATCTTGCCTTGACAGAAAGAACATATTACCAGTAGTGAAGACACAATATTGGCATTGCCATAACTGTCTTTTACTAGACCATGCCCAAAGTCAGGCACTCCTCTGTTTCCCTCAGCCAAAGTCCTCTGGAATCTAATATCACAGAAAGTAAACTCTGAGTGAGTAGACATCATCTAATCCAATCTAATTTTTAAAGATAAGGAACCCGAGACCCATTGAGGTAACCTTATTTGCCAAGGGTCACGCAGATATCGCACGGATGAGATGGACCTCAAACCCAGACCTTGCTCTATTCCCAGTGTTCTTTTCACTACAACATGTTCTCCCTTCAACAGATAGAAAGAAAGGGTCGACAAAGGACTCACCTTTTTTTTCAAAGTCTATCTTCTCCTCACTGGCCTGACCAAGACTCTCTAGAGTCCGCGTCACCTGACTCCCAAATTCATCTTCCCGGGAGACATGGTTGGCCCTCCGGGGTTGCTCCTCTTCTTCATAGTCATAGTCATAGTCATCCAGGATAGGAGTCTCTCGGATGGGCATGCCTATGACAGAATTGTGTGCCTGAAGGCGAGAGTTCCGGAAGCTTTCTCGAGCTTGGGGTCCCAGGAGCACTGATGGGATATAGTGGATCTCATGGGTTGCCTCTGTGCTGGCACTCTTTTGAGGGACCCGCCGTCTTCTGTGCCAGCGCCGCTGGGCATATAGGGCCACAGTGAACACCAGCAAGAGCAAAAGGAGGGCAATCAGGCCACCCTACAGGAGGGAGAAGAACAACTCAGAATTAATGAAGTCTCATGGCTGGGCTTACAACTTGAGAGCTTGGAAGAAATTTTCTAATCCAATACCTTAAATTTTCAGATAAGATGACTGAGTCCCTGAGAAGCTTAAAGAGTTAAATCAATCAACAAGCATTAATTAAGAACCTATTGTGTGACAGGCACTATTCCAGGCACTGCCAATACAAAGAAAAAAGCAAAAACAGGCCTTGTCCTCAAGGAGTTTATATTCTAGTAGGGGAGACAGAGAGATATAAGTAGCAAAGTGAAAAACTTCTACTCTGGTCATCTGACTTTATATCCTGAACTATTTTTTTTTAAAACTAAATTCAATTCAACTTCACTGAGCAAAAATCTATTGAATGCTTATTATGTGCAGTCACCAGGGATACAGAAAGAAAAATGTAAAGAAGTCCTGAACTCAGATAATTCACCTTAAACTAAACCATGCCACCTCCCACCCAAGATGTTGCAGGAGGGATTTGATTACCTAGCAAGTGCTAGACTAGATAACTTCAGAAATCTCAGGTAGCTTTGAGATTCTGCGACTCTAATAAGTGAGGAAGAAGGTGTGTGTGGAAGGGGGAAAAGGGAGAGGAGCAAGAAGGAGGGAAAATAGGAGAAAGAACAGAGAAGAGGAGAATCCATAAAAAGGTCAGAGAAATGAAGAGGTGGAGCAAAAAGAACACTTCCAAGTCCGGGTGAAACAATTCCTCAGGCTGTCTATTCAGAAGAGAGTTCTGTGAGCCTGGCTTCCTCGACTTTTGATTTCTTTCACAGAAAAACGACCTTTGCATTAAGCAGGATACCATTGCATGAGATCCCTTAACCAATGGTGCCCAGCCCATCTCTAAATACCAGATGAAATGCACGACTAGGAAAGATGGCTAGAGTGATCAGAACATTGGATTTGATGAAGAGTAGTTAACAAAAGGAGGTTTTTCCTAGTCCTCCAAAGCCTAATCTCTACTGGGGTCTTATCCTTGAGAATGCAATGCTGTATTAGATATCTGGCCCCAAAGATTCCAGTAGCTTCTTAAGTAGGGGTGAGGGAGTGTTGCAAAGCAAGGATGGGACCGCTGTTTGGAGGGTTTTAAAGAGATGAGCTATGCCTTTTCCCCTGGCCCTTGCTTCCAGTGTGCTACAAGAAACAACTCTATGAGCACAATATGGCAGCTCTCATTAGAATTCCCCCTCCTCCTGTCCTCCCCTCTGTGGCCTCATCTGTTTTCTCATTTGGTCTCATAATTGACAGTAATGGGAAGATGAGCTCAGGGAGGCAGTGACTGCACTTCTCTTTCTCAGCTGAGCAGATGCAGGCCTGGCAAATAACACTTCTGGGTCCAGGCAAGGCTCAGGGAGCTCCAGGGTTGGGACAGGGGAACAACTGCCTGCTTAGTAAGACTGAACTTTGCTTCCTGCACAGGGAGAATAGGTAAAGACCTACCTGACATAATTCTAAAATATAGAGTTTACAGGTGGAAAAAAAGTTAGGTACCGTCTAGTCTATTATTTTTTAATTTTGTCATTTCATCAACTAATTGCTTCATTTTACTCCTTTACTAGAGGAGGAAACTGAGGCCCAGAGAAGGGGAAGTGACTTTTCCAAGGTTAGTCCAATAGTAACAGAAGAGCTAGGAATTGCACCCAGGTTCTCTAGTTCCAAATACAATGTTTTTTATACAATATTTGTTTCCCAAATGCCAAAAGATGACCAGTCAATATTCAATAAAAGTTTTAAAAAAATCATTTATATGCTTTGACCCAATCTTTTCATTGTTGGAAAAATATGTGAAAGTATTGCTCTTTTTGCTTTTCAAAGATTTTCATTGTAGCATTATATGTAATTGCCAAAAACCTAGAACACACTGAAACGTCCAATAGTAAGCAAAGAGTTAAACAAATTGCAACACATTAATGTAATGGGATACTATAATGCCATTAAGATAAAACATATAAGCATACAAAAATGTAAAAAGCCTTTATGAAATAAATGCAAAGTGAAAAAAAAATAGTATCAAAAGAGTAGAGTAGACATTACCCACAACCATGTGCAAAGAAAACTGAATAAAAATGAACAAAGAATCCTGATTGGGATTTAACAGGAGACTAAAAAACTGGTATGATATTTGTGCACTGCAAATAATAAATTAAAACCTACATATTTAAAACAGGTTTGGTTCCCCTACACACACACACACACGCACACACACACACACACACACGCACAAATGTAATGTCCCTGAGGGCAGGAATTATTTCATTTCTTTATTTTTATCTCCATTGTCTTGTATGGGGTCTGACCTGTAAAAAGATGCTTGATAATTGTTGAATTAGTTGGCTGTATTGATGTTCAATATTAAGTTCTCAATACATTTAATTTAAAAAAATTCTAAAAGACTACCCCTGCACAACAACATTTATCTATCCTGCCCCCATTTGCCATTCTTCCTGCAATTTAGTCATTAGTAATCAATTCCATTGTATTAAGCCTTCTCCTTTCTTCTTGTCCTTAAAAAATAAAGAAGTACCCTGACTACTGCTTGAGGTAGGAGGAAGAATTCACATTTTTCTCTCTAGGTTTCAGTTTCCTCCTCAGTAAAATAAGTTGTTAGACTAGATTATTTGTAAGGTTTCTCCCGGGTCCAATTTTTTTTATGGAATATGGATTCTATGAATTTATTGATCAGTTTCATTCTCAGATATTAGAGACACTATGTATGAGAGTACGGTTGAGTGGACATTTGGGCTGAGAGTAGGGGGAAATATGTGGCTAAGGAAGGGAGATAATAAAAAACGGAAAATTGAGGAAAGGGGGATACCAAATCTAAAACTGGCTCCTGGTGGTAGCTTTTGACTGCCAACTAATGTCTTTCATCATGGCTTGTGTAACTCTAGACTATTGGGAATGCTTTATAGCAGTAGTTCTGCAAAACTTTGGACCTTACATTATTGCAGATGAAAGAAAATATATAATTTTGTTTAATATAAGTTTAACTTACCCTGGATACACAGTATAGTTAGTATAGTAGTCATAAAATATACAAATCCTACTTATTACACATGTACTCATATTTCTTGAACTCTCAAAGAATTCAACTATAATGGCTGCTGTTATCAAGAGGGAATATTATACAAACAAGTCTCCCAAATCAACCAAAGCGATGTCAGCTTAAGGGGTAAGTTACCAGGAATCCTTATGGTAGAGTACTGTGACATGAACGAAAAAACCAACAACAGCAACAAAAATTTGAGAACCACTCTCAGTAACATAGAGTTCATGCACAGATAACTTCATAAGGTTTAGAGCTGGAAGAAACCTTAGAGCTTATTTGGTCAAATTTTTCATTCCAAATATGGAAAATAAAAGCCCAGAATAATTACATGACTTGTCCAAGGTCACATAATTAGTATGCATCTAAAGTCCCTTTCAGTTCTGGTGTTCTAAAATTCTATGACTCTGGAGTTATTGGTTTTCTAGACCCTGACCAATTGCTCTGCCCTCAATGAATTCACCTAGCAATGTTTCATTCTTGGTATAATTCAGAGATCCTCCAGGAGAATACTTGGTGCTTTGAAACAGGAAGGTTCCATTATCACAGTGCATTTAAATGGAGGTCTCTGAGACCTGCTCCCTCTGGGCTCTCAATCTGGCTTTCTCACAGCAGAGTTATCACCACAGAGTGACAGGACCATGGTGGTTCTGTCATGGGTCCTGGATTCTCAGGTATCTGAAAGACAGCTGAGCACAGAACAGAAAAGAAAATTATTTGGATGTCCCCAGGGCCCTGCCATGTGACGAGTTCCCAATCCTCCTAAAAGAGAGTGGGTGAGGAGCTCAGGCTGAAGAGAAGAAACTGTGGTTCTTCCCCTACCTTGGCTAAACCAACCACCTGCAGAGACACCCACCCACGATTGCTTCTCCCTGCATTTTTACTCCTACTCATGTCTGCCTCAAGAAACAGAGGGCGAGCAAGCTGAAACACAGTAGAAGTGTGGGAAGAATTAATAGGGGGAGAGGTCAGGTTAGTTGC